TCGGCCAGACAGCGAGGCAGCAGTCGTCTGATTCGAGTAAATGGTGTGTAACGTTACGGCGGTGAATCTGGCCAAATGACCTGTGGCCAAAACACACAGATGGTCTGCTGTCACACACACACACACACACACTCGACACGTTTAAATAACAGAACGTCCTGCAGAGATTTCATTTAAAGGCCGAGAACTCAGAGCGTCCGACTCGGAGCTGAAGATGAACCTGAACTTCTTCTGCCTGGATGAAGCCGAGACCTTCTGGAGGATCTAAAAAAGCAGGTTCACCAACAGCGAAGCGACAGAAGCAGCTGCTGCTGCGACTCGCCGGTTAGCTCGACATGGACGTCCTTCGTTCTGTCTCCGTCGTAAACTACGTTAAAACCCAGATTTGATCTTCCTCGTTTCAAACCAATCAGACGCATTTTATTCACTAAAGGTTCAATAATCCGTCTTTCCCTGCATGTCCTCCAGCAGCCAGCTTCAGAGGATATGTACATTTAATTATTCACCATCTCCTCCTCTGATTGGCTGCACTGGAGGTTGCTGGTTGGCCTACAGCCAATAGGATGCTACAGAATAAGCAGACGTTCTTCTAATGCTGCAACTTAACTGCAAATAACAAAAACACACATTTCAAGCTGACGGTGGCCCGAGAGGACAAGTCAGGGCACGTCAGAGGGGTTCAGCCTCTGAGGAGCATGAATGTCTGGAACGTATTCCACACTAATCCAGCCACTAGCAGTCGGGACAGTTCAGTAAAAAACACAAATTTCCAGCTCATGGTGGCACAAGAGGAAACACTCGGAGATCTTAGCGGTCAAAGGAATTCATCCTCTGGGGATCTGGACTGTTTTTAATAGTTTTTAGTCCATTTAGGAGCTGTTGGAGTAATTTACAATAAACAAACAGCAGTGGTGGCGTAAGAGGAACCGCCAGAGGAGCTCGGTGGACGGAGAGATTCATCCTCTGAGGGCCACGAACAGAACTGAACACGAGGACAGTGAGAGCTGGATTCAGATCCGCTGCAGCTAAACTCACATCGTATCATATTTAGGAGCATCGTGTCCAAGTCGATCAGACGGCCGACATGCTGCAACCTGACGACACAAAAACTTCTCCGTCAACATCTCATCAGCACGTTTCCACGAGTTTGAACCCTCCTGATGTGATGGAGGCCGATTCAACGAACTCCTACTGAGTCGACTCCCAGCTAAAGATGCCAGATGAAAGAAGACCAAAAAAAAACCTACAAAGAGACGCAAAACTACGAAGAACGCCAAACAGACAATAAAACTGACAAAGGAGCTGCTCAGAAATACACAAGAACTCAGAAGGAACACGAAAGAGACGAAAAAACTACAAAAGACGTCAAACAAGTCGCTGCTTTTTGTTCCAAAAAGTTGAAAAAAAACCACACAAAATTCCACAAAAACCCACAAAAGACAGGAAATGATGACGACACGATACAAAGCGTCCAGGAGAAGATGCAACATCTCCACAAAGAGGCGACAACCGTTTAATTTGCTGCAAAAACTTTGGGATGTTCGCCTGCAGACTAACGTATGGATTCATCTCCTGCCACCATGACTGGATGATCTTCGGTTTAGTTTCAGTTCGGCGCTGAAGCTGAAACCTTCTCAGACACCAGCAGGAATCCTGGACGGCCCGGATCATAAATCCGTGAGCACTGTGATCCGGGCGGCCTCCCCTGAAACACCAGCCAGAACTAACTAGCCGCACATAATGGAGTTCAATCTGCAGGAGACGCTGGAGCGCCGGCGCCTCCTCAGAGGAATAATTCAGTTAAAACCGATCAGGCCGACGAGCAAACTGCAGGAATGTGACAGACGATAGCGGCTGAAACACGAGCAGCGCCTCGGATACAGTAAAGGAGAAACCAGAGCCGGCTGTGAGCGCTGACGTGACGCCCAGCACCGAGCAGCTGTAATGCAGGAGAGCTGAGAGGCCTTCAGGGCCTCCGGGGAGCGTCGTAATTCACATTAGGCCGATAAAGATCTGAGTGGACGGCGTGGAGGGCGACAGACGGAGAGAAAATGGAGGAGACAAGGAGTGAAGGAAGAGAGGATTCAGGTTACTACAGCGAAGAAATCAACTGTCAGAGGAGCACGACTGGACAGAAAGAGACTGAAAACCTACCAGACAATTAAAACCTACTGAGAATGACAAGAAACACACAAAGTAAGGCAAGAAAAACTCCACAAAATAAAAATAAACAAGAATAACCTACAAAGAGACTGTAAAAAAAACTGGACACACACGATAAAATCTTAATAACAACGAGGAAAAAATACAAAGAGACACAAAAACCTGATAAAAGGCGATAAAAAACTACAAAAAGCTACACAGAGAAGCTAGAAAAATTCAAGACAAGCTCCAAAAAATGTGAAGAAACTATAAAGACATGCGAAAACTGCAAAAAAAAAAAACTCAATAAAATAAAATTAGACAATAAAAACCTCCAGAGACAATAAAAAACCCAAATAGATTCTTAAAACTATGAAGACAGTATAAAAAACTAGAAAGATGCCACAAAAAAACCCCAGAAACAACAAGAAACACTAAAAATCAAATAAATCTGCTAAAAAATACAAAACAAACTACAGAGACACAAAAACCTTCAAAGAAAAACTACAAATTGGTACCGAAGACCACAAGGAGACGACAAAGAAACTACGGAGACGCACAAAAAGAGACGATGAATAAATAAAAATAGGAAATAAAAACCGCAAAAAGGACAATAAAACACAACAACGAAAATTAAAGAAGCATTAAAATCTACAAAGAAAGAACAAAGACGAGTGCTGGAAACACCAAGAAAACCTACAAAGAACCACAAATAGACAATAAAAACCTACAGAGACGATAGAAACCACAACGGGACGCTAAGAAAAGCTACTGAACGCTACGGAGACGCGATAAAACCCTGAAACTACACAGAGACGGCAAAAACTAGGTAAAAATTTAAATTACAAACAACAGAGAAACACAAAAGCTCATAAGAGGAGCTTAAAAACTACAAAGAGACGCCAAGAAACAACAACTAGTGATGCGAGAAACTCCAGCAACACACAGGAAACTACGGAGACGATAAAAACTACAAAGACCTACAACAAACTGGCGTTACGAGTCGCTTTAACCTCCAAAAAACACCTAAAAAAAGCATCGAATAGCAGAGGTAACAACGAGAAGACAGCAGCAACCACCAAGAGACACAAGAACAACCTTCAGAGATGCAAAAATAACCAGAAAGAGGTTCAAATTAAACGTAATGAGACACAAATGAAGAGAGCCGAGCTGATGCCAGCAGACGGAGACGTGCTGGTTTCTCAGAACGTCGTCGGTTCGTTGGACTCGTCGGGCTGCAGCTCTGAACCTGGAGGCTGACGTCAGGACGCTCGATGGCAGAAACCAAAGCTGAACCAATCAGGCAGCAGCGGCGACGCCTTCACTGCCCCCTGGGAAAACTCTGATCTGCATCACATGACACAGCCGAGCCGGAGGTTCGACTGTTCGACAGAAGAAGACGACGGTGGGCGAGATGCGTTCAGGGGCCGTGGGACGAATTTAACTCAAACTGAGAGGAAAACGTATGAAACCAGCCGTGACAACCTGAAACAAAAGTAGGACATCTGAGCGCTGACCAGGCCGCTGTGCTCACCTGTATGAGATCTTCTTGTCCCGCCACCGCTGTCCGGTCAGAGCGTAGCGTTTGTTCCTCTGCCGGCGGCTGGTGTGAGGATGGTCGGGGACGCCACAGCGAGGCCGCCGCATCCACCTGAAGGCAGCATCACATCAGAGTGAAGCAGACAGTGAGCAGCAGAGACACAGAAACACAGAAACACAGAAACGCTTCAGAGGTTGTTGAAGCGTCACAGGACAGACTTGGTTCTTCTGTCAGACGTTGTTTTTCTGTCACACGGCGGCTTTTGTAGGAAAACTTTCTCTGTGACGTCGTTTCCGTTTTTCAACGTTTATTTGTGAAGAAAAAGTTGCAGAGAGACAATAAAAACTAAAAAGAGAATCACACAAACTATTGACAGATACTGAAACTTTAAAACCTCCTGA